CGCCGCTGGCGACGCACCTGAGTGCGCCGGACGGATTGTCGGCGAGGCCGCCGAGACCGTCGCGCGGCCTCGAGGGGATTTGCCCGGGACTCTTGGAGCCCCGCCGAGCGCTCCAGAAGAGGCGCCTGAGTCGCCCCGAATTGCCAGCTCGCTGGAGGACGCACTCAACGACGAACCGGGGCCCCGCGATGATTGGTTCATCCGCGACGTCGATGGAGCTGGAGGCGCAGCTGGGCACCCCTGCAGGGCCCCCGCGGCGGGCGCCCCCGCGGGCGCCGCTGGGGTCGCCGGGCGCGCCTCTGCGGGCGCCGCAGACGACGCGCCTGCAGGCAGACGTCGGAGGCGGTGGGGCGCCTCGCCCGGCACCGGCTAGTCTCGTTAGCTGGCGCGGGCAAGATGGAGGCCACCTGAAGCCACGCGACCTGGGCTTTCCGTTTGAAAAGAGGCCCTCCTCCAGACCAGCAGCGTCGCTCGTTCCTGCGAGGTGGCCCGATATGGTGGGGGGCCGACGATTGCGACTTCCGCTCGCGCCTGGACGCGCACGCATGAGTCGCCAAACGGCCGAGCGCCGGGGCGTTCTGGACAGTCCCCTGGCTGCTGGGACTGCTCAGGCGCAGTCGCAAGGCCCCCGCCCAGCGGGGGGAAGTCCATGAGCAAGCCGCCGACGGAGGTGGACCTCATCATGCCAGAGGTCGCCGCGCACTTCAATCGCACCGCCGCGTTTGAGATGGCGGAGGCACGGGCCCTCTTGATCCGCGGCACCGACGAGCGCCCGCTCGACGACCTCGCGATCCTGGAGGAGGAGACCGCCGAGCTCGCGGCGGCAAACCCGAGCCGCGCCCTCTCCAGCCAGCGGCGCGACTTCACAGCGCGGGCGCGGCGGACGTCGGCGACGGCGCCAGGGGCCCTCCGCCGCCGCGCGACGGGCCCGCTCCCCTTCGCGCCCGATGGGCATCGCGGCCAGCGCCACCGCGGCGAAGCCGCGGACCGTGATGACGGAGAACAGCGAGCGTTGGGGGGAGCTGTGGGCGCCCTCGGACGCGTCGCAGGAGCTATCGGACCACGTAGCCGCCGCCGCGGCGCGCGCCCGTCGCGGCCCGATCGAGGCGCTTGGCCTGGGCGGGCCCGCCCGGGGCGCGAAGGCCCAGGGGCCGCGCAAGGTCCGCGGGGTCGCAGCTGACGGGCGCCAGCGGCGCCGCGATCCCCAAGACGGCAGGAGGCAAGCGCCCATGTGGCACGCTGCCGCTGCTGCGGAGGGCGCGGTCCCGCACTCGGGCCTCGGCCGCGTCCGACTGGGCCGAAGGGCTCGGAGCCTTCTGCTCGGAGCCTTCTGGGACATGTCGACACGTGGTTCCAGCGCGCTGCGGGCAGCTCTGCTGCGCGCGGTCTGGGGCGAGGCGGGCGCGGAGCTGCGCGCGGCGTCGGCGACGCTCTTCATGGACGTGGAGATTCTGCACGACTGTATCTCGCTCGTCAAGCTGATGGAGATTGCTGAGCGTCTCGGCTACCCTGCGGCGGTCGTCGGTCTAGGGGCGCAGATGCCCCTCGCCCCGCGCGCGTCGCGAGATCGGCGGTGGCGGGCCCAGGCCACGGAGCGTGCTTGGGCTAGCTGCGCCCATCCCGTTGTCGCCAGAGCGCACGCGCTGTCGCCGAGGGCAGCGCTGTGGAGCGTCATCGACGACACGACCGGTCGAGTTGAAGCCCCCCGCGCAGCGGCGCTGGGGGGGCTGCCGGCCCCGGGGGCGGTGTTCGAGCAGGGCCTCGACGAGCAGGAGCTGATATGCTTGGGCGAGACCAGAGCCCCGGCCTCGGAGGGCACTCTGGGCGCCGAGATCGCGGCGGCGCGGCGCCCCGCCAGGCGGCGATCGCACGCCAGCTGGCGCAGGAGGCGGCGGACCTCGGCGTCGACGCGGCGGCGGGGCGCAGGATGGCCTGCCGCAAATCGGGAGCCAGCCTGGCGGCTGGCAGGCACCGCTCCCGACGCATCCTGTGGATGCGCAAGCAGTCGGCGCTCATCAAAGACCGCCGAAGTCCGTGGAGCACGGGGGCCATGCCGCAGTAAGCCAACGGCCATCGGGTCTTCGGCCCGGTGCCCAACGGCATCGCCAAGCTGCGGCGCCAGGCCAGCGAGGCCACCGGTGGTGCTGGGCGCTGGCGCAGCCTCGCGCCCATGCTGGCGGCGACCATGGGGTTGCGCGACCCGCGCGCAGAGCTGCGGCGGCAGGTGATGGATGCGCGGCGCACGCCGCGAATGACGGAGCCGCTCATCCACGGCCGCGCGCAGCGGGCGCGGCCTTGCGTTCATCGCGCCTTGCGCGGGCAGGCGGCCATCGTTGGCGGCGAGCGCGTGGCCTGGTCGGCGCGGCCCAGGCGACGCCGCTGGACTTGGGCTGGGACCCCGTCGCGGCCGCCCAATGGCATCGCCCGACGGAATCGGGCTACGACGAGTGGGCGCTGCCTTTGGCCAGCGACGAGGGCTGCGCCTCCTGCGCGCAGCGCTCGGCCCCGCTTGACATCATCGTCGCTGACCTCCGCGCGCAACTGTTCGCCGCTGCCTCTGGTCACGAAGCAGGCGAGGGCTTGCAGGGCGGCGCCAATCTCTGGCAGACCTGCAACGAGCCCAGGCGCTTCGAGCAGGACGGCGACTGGTCCGCCTGGGGGCTTACCGCGGCAGCGGTCGCGGGCGGGCAGTGGCCCCGCGAGCGTCGACTCCTAGCGGGTTGCGTCCTGAGCGATGGCATGCGCAGGCGTTGCAGGCGCCAGCCCGAGGACCTCGCCCAACGAATCGCGACGGCGAGGGCGATGATGCAGTCGCCAAGTCGACCGCCTTGGCGCCGCGAGCGTAGGCAAGCCACCGCGCCGAGCCATCCGCGCGGCCACGTGGCGCGCCGCCTGCTTCACTTACCACGCCGCACTTTGATGAGGGGCATGTGGCTCGCGGCCAGTTTGTGGTCGGAGCTCCTTTGGACTCCTATCGCGACGAGGAGGGGGTGGCGACGGTTTTCGGGGATGGGTTGGGGGGAACGTACTCGTCTGACCCGAGGCGCCGCCGATGCGGGACTGCCGTGGCCGCGCTGGAGAGCGGTCCTGGCGGCGAGTGGCAGGCCGCTGCGGGACGCGCCGAGACGCCCACTGGCCCGCGGCAAACAGTGCCGCGGCCCGAGATTATCGCATATGTTCTGGCCCTCGAGTCGACCTCGTGCGCCGTGCGATACGTCACCGATCACGAGCCATTGTTTCGAGTCTAGCGTCAGCGCCTTGCTGGCTCCAGCCATCGCCGCGCAGCGGACGAAAACCTCTGGCAGCGGGGCCGCGCGGCCATGGCCAGTAGAGGCGACGGGGCAGTGCTGGTCGAGTGAGCAGCGCGGCGCGCTGACGAGCGTGTCCACTTGCTCGTCGCTGCTCGTCAGTGAACGCTCCCTCTTTCTCGCGTTGGGTGGTGCGTGGACGAGGGAGGCGGCTCTGCTTGGGCGGGTGGCCGGGACGGTGGGCGAGGAACCTCGAACCGACGAGGTCGATGAGATCGCTGTCCTCGTTCGCCGCCGCGCGCGGAATGAGCTCGAGCGGGCGACAGAGGCCGACAGCGAGCAAGGAGGGCGTCCTGTTTACGTCAGGCGCCCTCCGCGGACGCCTGTTGCCCTAGCCCTGCAGTCTGCGGCCCACGGGATGGCGGAGTGCGGCAGCACATGGCGCTGCAGCCTCTACCACAGGCTTGTGCCCAGCCGCCACCTGTTGAGTTTCAGTGCCACGCCGTGCACGGGCCCGTTGCTAGCAAGCAGTTGAGTTGCGGCGGCCAGTGGGGGCGAGCCTCCTTCGGTGCTCGTTTCGGCCGCTCGGGTCGGCGAGGTTTTCCTTCATGAATCGCACGCTCTCGCATTATGGCCAGAGTATTGCGTGATCTTCTGCTGGAGATATGGTCGGTACACCACGGAGGACCCCAGACACATCGTGGAGAAGTGCTTTCCTCGGGCGAGGAGGGGAACAGAGAATTTGTCGAGAATTCGACAGGATTGTTCCTCCGGCGTAAACATATCCCAAAGCATGTCCTTCGCGCGATTGGGATGCGAGCCTGTGACGCCGCCAGCCGCTTGCCAAGATTTGTGCCCGACGGGGCCCATAGTGCACCAGCCGCCGGCGAGGACTGATTTGCGAGGGGCCCGTCTGGTGTACTTTGTGGACCGTGTATCGGCGCGCGTGCACGATTGGGTGGGGGCTTCGGTGCCTGATCAGGGTGCGTATGCGTCTTGGATGTAACACGACCCCTCGGGCATGGTCAAAACGTTCCTCTTCGTCTTTTCCCTCCTCCTCCTCCTCCTTCTCCTCCTCCTCTTCCTCCTTCTCCTCCTCCTCCTCCCCCTCCTCCTCCTCCCCCTCCTCCTCCTTCACCTCCGTCCCTTTCTTCCTCCTCCTCCCTCCACCTCGGGGGGGTTCTCCTCCTCCTACTTCTTCCTCCTCCCTCCTCCTCCTACTCTCCTCCTCCTCCTCCTCCTCCTTTTCCTCCTCCTCCTCCTCTCCTCTACTACTAACTACTACTACTTACTACTACTACTACTACGACACTACTACTACTACTACTACTACAACTACTGACTACACTACTAACTACTACTAACTACTACTCTTACTAACTACTATACTGACAAGGAAGACTACTACTACTACTACTACTACTACTACTACTATTACTACTACTACTACTACTACTACTACTACTACTATTTCCCTCCTCCTCCTCCTCCTCCTCCTCCTCTCCTCCTCCTCCTCCTCCTCCTCCCTCCTTCCACACTCCTCCTCCTCCTCCTCCTCCTCCTACCTCCCTCCTCTCTCCTCCGTCCTCCGCCTCCCCCCCTCCTCCTTCTCCTCCTCCTCCTCCCCCCGGTCCTCCGCCAAGCCCCCCCCCCCCGCGAGAGGGCCGCGAGAGGGCCGCAAGAGGGCTAGAGCCAAAGCGGGGGGGGGGTCGTCGGGGCGGCAGGCTCGGCTCGGCCGCGGCTCCCCGCGCCAGGCGCGGTTGTCCCAGGTCATCCAGCGCGTCGCCGCGCTGATGAAGGTTCGCCGTGCGTGCGAGCTCTCCTCCCTTTCCTCCGCCTGTGGTGTGATCGCTCCTCCTCCTCCTCCTCCTCCTCCTCCTCCTCCGCCTCCTCCTCCTCCTCCCCCGCCTTCTCCTGCGCCTTCTCCTCACCTCCTCCTCCATCTCCTTCTCCTCCTGGGCTCCTCCTCCTCCTCCTCCTCCTCCTCCTCCTCCTCCTCCTCCTCCGCCTCTCTCTCTCTCTCTCTCGCGGCAGCTTCTGATGTCCCCAGGTCCGCGCGGACGCCCCGCGCGCCCAGCGGTTCCCGGGGAGCCTGCTTACGTTTCAGATGGGGGGGAGAGGAGGGAGGCCGCCATGTCCACCCTACATCCTGAGGTAGGCCAAAGAAGAGAAGAAAGGGAGAGGTGAGCGGCGGGTCCACTCGCATGATCATGGTTCTGTAGTACGTACCGAGGACGGCGTACATGCTGCGCGTAACGTACACGGCGTACCTTGTCCGTAGCGCCGAAGACGTCGCACGTCTCAGGCATACAGTAACATATGTTGGATGACCATCATCAGTGGCTCGGGTAGGCCGGTCTCACCGTAACTACTGCGCCATCCGAGCGCTGACCACGTTGAACAGGTTTCGTTGTTCAATATGTTGGAAAAGTTGGCTAACCCCTGGCTGGCCTTCAGAGGCTGCGAAGCCTATAAGCGCTCGAACACGTAAGTAGTCATTCTTCGTCGGGTGGTGATACTGGTAGGCTCGAGCCTTCGCTTGGCACATGGCTGCGAGCCACTTCTTGGGGTACCTGTCGATGGGCTCGACGTTCGTTCTATACCTTGATGGCCATCGATCCCGATTCAAATGCCCAGCGTTCTGTGGTGGCATCCCACGCGCCCAAAGTACCCTCGAGGCCATTGTGGCGCCTCTGGCCTTCAAGCCCGATTAAGCAGGCTGGCACCTCTTGTCATAGTCCTGCGCGTGCTGAGACTTCGGCTTGTTCTCGCAGTCTGGCTAGTTCTGCTGGTGGTTCTCGTAGCTCAGGTGGTTGCCCGCGTCGCCCATGCAGTTCAGCTCGTCGCCCTGGTAGCCCCTGCGGGCGGCACCCGTAGCTTTGCTTCTGGCCCGCGTAACTCAAAGTGCGGCCCCCGTACCTCCGCGGGTGGCCCTCGCAGCTGAGTTGGTGGCGTTCGGCGTGCTGCACCCGGGCCTCGTGCTTCGGCTCGCCGCCCTGATGATTCTGGAGGGGGCTCCTGCAGTTGTTCCTGTAGTCCGCGTGGCTTAGGTTGTGGCCCTGGGAGCGCAGCAGGTGGCCCTCGCAGCTCTCGTAGTTCAGCCGGCGGCCCTCGGAGCTCTGCCCGTGGTGCCAGAAGCCCTGCGTGTGGCCGTGGTAGCTCAGCGCGTGGTCCCAGTAGTTCAGCACGCGGTCCGCGCAGCTCAGCCAGTGGATGTCCTTGCTCAGCAGGTGGTCCTTGCAGTTCAGCTCGTCGCCCTGGCAGCTCTGCGGGAGGCTGTCGTAGTTCTGCTTGCGGCCCGTGTGGCTCAGGTAGTGGCCATCGTGGCGTTGCCCGTGGCCCTCGTAGTTCAGCTCGTGGGTCTCGCAGTTCTGCTTCTGGTCCTTGCCGTCCAGCTCGTCGCCCCAGTCGCTTTGTAAGAGGGTCAGGTAGGTCTTCCCGTAGTCCCCGTAGCTCTGGCGGTGGCCCTGGGAGCTCAGCAGGTGGCCCTCCTAGCTCTCGCAGCTGCGCCCGCGGCCCCCGTAGCACAGCCGGTGCCTCCAGCAGCTCAGCCGGTGGTCCTCGTGGCTCAGCCGGTGGTCCCCGCAGCGCAGCAGGCGGCCCTCGTGGTTCAGCTGGTGGTTATTGTACAGTGCCGCTTTCAAGACATGCTCCGTGTGCGGATCATGTATTAAAAATGCAGGGATTTAGCATCAAAAGCAACGATGAGTTCATGCATAGATTTATTCATAAATAAATCATGCATTAAAAATCCTATATGTTTAAAAATCCTATGCATTAAAAACTGCCCTGCAGTCCTGTTTGTGGCCTGCGCGGCTCAGCTCGTGGCTCTCGTGGCGCGGCAGGTGGAGCCCGCAGCGCGGCAGGCGGGTCCTGTGGTATTTCTGGTGGCTCCCGAAGCCGTCCTCGTGGTCCCCGCAGCTCGGCTCGTGGCCCTCGCTGCACAGCCTGCAGCTCTCGCGGCTCTGCTGGTGGCTCTGGTGGCCCCCGGCAGGTGGGTCCTGAAGCTCCTTCTGGTGAATCTCGTCGCTGTCGCGCGTGATCCCCGTACTTCGGCTCGTGGTCCCCGAGAGTGGTCGGGTGGCCCTGGTCGCGCCGCTGGTGGCTGTGCCCGCTCTGGTCGCTGCCCTCTCGTAGAGCAGGTAGCGGCCCGAGTAGCTGCCCAGGTGGCCCTCGTGGCCCTGCTTCTCCGCAGCTCAGTTGGTGGGCATCGTGGCTCTCGTGGCTCTGCTGGCGGGCCTCGCGGCTCGGCACGCGGGACTTGAGGCTCTTCTGGTGGCTCCCGTAGCCGTGCGCGCGGTCCTCGTCGTTCCGCGTGCGGTCCCCGCAGGTCGGCTGCGTGGGGCCCCGGCGGCTCTGCCGGTGGCCGTGGCAGCTCGGAGGGCGCGCTCTCGTCGGAGTCCCCGAGGTCCGAGTCGGAGTCGTCGGCTGCCGAGTCGTATTCTTCCACGTTCTGGGTGTCCCTGTAGTCCTGGCGGTTGTCGTAGCCCTGCGGTCCGTCGTAGTCCTAGAAGTCATTATATATATATATATATATATATGTGTGTGTTTGTGCGTGGCTTTAAAACAAAAAACGCACCGGTATCGAAAAATCTCTCGTAGTAGTAGTACTCGTCGTAGGCGGCGCGGCCGTAGTCGTACCCGACGTAGGCGGCGCGGCCGTTGTACCTCCACAACGATGTATTTAGTAACCCTTTCGGTCTGCTAGGTCGTGTCGTTCCTGGTGTCTGTCTTGGAGACAGACTTGGTGTCGTATTTGGGCTACCTGTTACGCAGCTCTTCCTCGGGCTGCATGTTACGCAGCTCGTCCCGTCCTGCAGTGGACGCCATCGTGCAGGCGGTCGTAGCCATGGTCATGATATCGTTGAGGTGTGGTTGTCGCCTGCCAGCAGTCGTCACCGAGGTGGGTAAGTCTCGTAGCCGATATTGTGGACGTCCGGCTTGTAGTACGTCAGTTGGTGGATGATTTATCCTCCCCTGGATGATCACATTCTCCCACATGACGCGCGCCGCCAATGATGGCGGCGCGCTCGGGCCCGTCCCCCCTTCCGCGGGTGGTGAGGAACGCCCCCCCGCCCCCCGCAGGGGCCAGAAAGGCCCTACTCCGCCTCCTCTTCCTCCTCCGCCTCCTCCTCAGCCTCCTTCTTCGTCAAGGGCTTAACGACTTGCCGTCCCTCGACTCGCGCTGGAGCGGCCACGATTTGATCAAAATGTCCTTGGAAATTCTTTGGATCTACCTAGGTTTACCTCTGCGCATTTGCATTTAACTTGATTCATCCGGCTTGGTCCAACACGTCGATTGGCGAAAAGTCGTCAAGTTTTTCTCGATTCCTCCTCCGTCTCCTCCTGCTCCTCCTCCTCCTCCTCCTTCTCCTCCTCCTCCTCCTCCTCCTCGTCCTCCTCCTCCGCCTTCTCATTCTCCTCCTTTTCCTCCTCCTCCTCCTCCTCCTCCTCCTCCTCCGCCTCCTCCTCCTCCTCTTCGAGGAGGAGTCGGGCGCTGGGGGCTTTGGGCTGTTGGGGGAGCGGCCCTGGCCTCGTCGTGGTCGTCGTCGCTGCTTGGGCCCTGCGGCTCAGCCCTTCCACTCCCCCCCCCCGCCTCTCATCGAAGCTCACGCGAGCGACGGAAGAAAACGGGGTCGATTGTCCCAACACTCGCGCGCAAGGTCGCGCGTAAGCGTCCTCGTTTCCAGTGCGGCGTGCCACGCTGGCGGCCCGCGTACACGAGCCGCCGCGCACGGCCGCCACTTCTTCTCGCGCAGGAGCCGTTTCTGGTCGTCGCTCACGTGCAAGCCTTGAAGAAGGAGGAGGAGGAGGAGGAGGAGGAGGAGGAGGAGGAGTTGGAGGAGGAGGAGGAGGAGGAGGAGTTGGAGGAGGAGGAGGAGGAGGGCCCCCATGCTCGGGGCAACGGGAGGGGCAGGAGCAGGACGACGAGACGGAAGCTGTTTCCCATCAGTTTGGGAAGCAGGCCTTCTTCACGGAGGACGTCTAGACTTCCTGGTTCACTGCTTGGGTCAGGGGCGCGTCGCCCGCAGGTTTTTTGGGGCCGGCTTGGCCCCAACGGGATCGCTGGTCGTGGCCGCCTTGAGGCGGAGGACGGGGCAAGGGGAGGAGCGCAGCGGACGTCAACACGGGCCCTCTTCCCCGCCCTCGCTGTCGTGGTCATGTTGTGATCCCCGTTCTCCTCGAGCCGCTGCGCGATCGTCAAGCGGGGCCTGCCGACTGCATCTTCGTTCTCACTCTCTCCCTCTTCCTCTCCCCCGCCTCCTTCCCAGGATGTCTCCTCCTCATCCTCCTCCTCCTCCGCCTGCCCCCTCCCCTCCTCCCCTGTGCCTTCTGTCATTCCCTTCCGTCCCACCCCTCTGCGCGTCCAGGCCCGCAACATGGACAAGTTCTGGCGTTGCTTCGAGAAGGTGGAGAAGAGGGGGCAGCTGTTCCCGCAGAAGAGCGGCAAGGATCGGCACCCGAGGGGCGCTTCGTGCGCCTCCTTCTGGTCCTCGTCATCCTCCTCGATGTCCCTCTCCACCTTCCGCTGCTCCTTCTCCGTCTCATCCATCTCCTCCTCCTCCTCACCTTCATCATCATCGCCATCATCATCAGCAGCAGCATCATCATTATCAGCAGCATCGTCATCAGTATCATCATCAGTATCATCAGTATCATCATCTTCACCACCATCAGCATCAACATCATCATCAGCACCACCATCATCAGCATCATCATCATCATCATCACCAGCATCAACATCATCATCGGCATCATCAGCATCAGCATCATCGCCCTCATCATCAACAACATCATCACCAGCAGCATCATCATGTTCAGCATCAACAGCAGCAGCATCATGAGGATCAGCATCATCATCATTAGCATCAGCAGCAGCATCATCATCAGCATCATCAGCATCAGCATAATCAGCATGATTATCAGCAGCAGCATCATCAGGAGGATCATCATCATCATCATCATCATCATCATCATCATCAGCATCAGCATCAGCAGCATCATCACCATCATCATCGGCATCATCAACGTCTTCATCATCATCAGCCTCATCATCGTCATCATCATCATTCTCCTTTTCCTCCTCCTCCTCCTTCTCTTCCCCTCCTCTTCCCCCTCCTCTGTAGCTACTTTGGCTCAAGGGGCCTGCTGAACTTTCCAGCCGTCCTGGAGTCCTCTGGGGAGCCCCTCGGGCGGCCATGAAAGTCTCCTGGGCCGTCTTAGGGGTCGGGTCGTCTTTGGGGCCTCTTGGGGCGTCTTGGAAGCCTCTGAGGCCGTCTTGGGCTTTCGTAAGCCCAGATAGGCGGGAAGCAAACAACAGTGAAAGACCGATTGGACCTCATGGATGTTGGCTTCTTCGGGCCTGGGCCGCTTGTATTGGCTTCTACACTTTCATTACCCCTTCAGGGCACAGCAGAACTTTCGAGCTCCCGAACGCCTTCTGAAGCTTCCTCCTTCTCCTCCCCATCCTCCTCCTCATCCTCGCTCTCCGTCCTCACCCCGGTGGCCCTGGGCAGGGACGGAGCAGATGGGGTGGGAGGAACAAGAACAGTTCACACACACACACACACAAACAAAAACAAAAAATCGATTGGGGATCGGCTCGGGCTCGGAAGGGGCTCGCTGTCCCTGCGGTCCTTGCACGGTTATTCCTCCAGCGCTCCTCGTGCGTCCAGGCGCCCTTTGGGCCCAAGAAGGGCTCCGTTTCCCCACTGAGCGTTACTTATGGTAGCAGCTTCGCAGCTTCACTGTACCCTGTGCTTCTCGACCTCTCTCACTCTCTCCCAGCCTGGGCACGCCAGGGGTCGCAGTGGTGGGTGCTGGCGGGGGAGGGGGGGGAGGGGGGGGGCGAAGGAGGGCCGTTGCTGATGCCCGTTCGCCCCAGTATCCTTGGACGATCATGGGCGGGTTCGCAGCAACGGCTGGCGTGGTGATGGCTCAATTCTTGCCATGTGCTTCGGGCAGCTCCCCCCCCCGCCGCCGCCCCGAGATCAGCCCGGCCCACTTCATGCAGAGCTTCCCGTTCCTGAAGGACTTCAGCCCGCAGGACGTGAGGCTGATCCTCCAGCGCTACACGGAGGACGCCGCCCCCTGTCGCGCCCCGCCCCTGCCCCCAACCCGCGGGGGCGCCGCGAGGGCGCGCACGAGCCCGCCTCGACCCCCGGGTTGGGGGCGCTCCGATGGGAGGCGCACGCGCGCAGTGCCAGCGCGACGGCTTCAGCGCGGCGTGGCACAGCACGTCGCGGCACGCCACGGCCAATCACTGCACACAACAGTACGGCGCGCACGGCACGGCGCATCACAGGATATCACAAGACAGCACAGCACGGCACAGCACAGCGCGGGCCAGCGCCGCGCAGCGTAGCACATCAGGGCATGGCGCAGCACAGCCCGAGCCAGTGCAGCACAGCACGTCACGCCACGGAGCCTCCCAGCGAGCAGCCTGCGCTTCCGGGCCGCGAGGAGCCAGCCAGCGAACAGCCGACGGGCAATATCTCGGGCGAGACCCCTAAGACGAGCCCAGTCGGGACAAACATCACGGCCAGCGGTTTCCCTCCATCGGGTCGGGGGGGGGGGGGCGGGCAGGGCGTGTCGGGTGGGGCTAGGACAGAGATAAATCGTTCGTGGGCGTTCTGAAATGCTCTCAGGGCATTCCGGAGCGCTCTGGATCGGCCCTCCAGTCCCGCCGGATCCCAAGGAACGGCTCGGCTGATTCATTCGCCCTCCCTACACATGTCCGCGGACGACTTGTCTGCACCGTACGGCGTCGGCCTCTCCCGAGGCGCAGTCCATCCTCGACCCAGTGCAGTTTTCAAACCCCGCGCTGGGGCGGGGCCTGAAGGGAGCCCAAACATGGTGCGGGGCACGGGCGCCGTGCTCGCAACATGCGCGCCAGTGGAGCTCTCGGCCGAGCTCCGTCATGCAGTGGCGACGTTCCAGCGGGGGGAGGTGCAGGGGCGGCTGCGTCGACCCCCAGTTGACCACTGATCCCTGAGAGGGGCCTGATAGCACCACCCTGCCCACGGCCGTTTGGGGCTTCACTGCCGAGGGCCTATCGCCGATCTGTCGGCGGTGCATCGCCGATTCCAGCTCGAGCCTTCCTACCCTGCGCTGGTCCCTCCCTGACGTTGCACCTCGGTCACCTTCGGGATGCTGGATCTGCTCTGGCGTTGGGGAGCGCGCCAGGTTCGGCCAAGCATGGGGCCAACCCAGAGGTGCTCGGGACCCTCGTGTGCCCCGCGCTCGCCCCTGCGAGCGTCGCAAACATCGAGCACGTGTGCTTGCGCGCAGCAGAGCCGATGCACACAGGAGAGCGGGGGCGTCAACGTGAAGGCCATGAGCGTGGAGCTTGAGGAGGCGCTCGAGAACCTCCCGGACCCCAACAGGCCAGGGCGGCAGTAACCGCGGTGGTATGGCTGAGGTTCGACTCCCCTCCTCCACCTCCAACTCCTCCTCCTCCTCCTCCTCCTCCTCCTCCTCCTCCTCCTCCTCCGCTGCCATTTTGGCTCAAGATGGGGACAGGCCCCTTTTGAGCGCGGCAGCTCTCTGCAGGGCGATCTGGCGTCAGACCCAGGCGGACACTTTCACCCCTCGCCACCTCATGTTGTGTGTGTGGCCCCATGGCGGCTGCTGCCGGTGCCAACCTGCTCGCGCAGATCCTGGCGGGTATCGAGGGTCTTGACGGACGCATGGCCCGAGTCGACAAGCAGCTCACGGATGTGCTGGTCCTCAAGCAGGAGATCCATTCGCACCACCAGAAGCTCACGGAGATGAGCGAGCGAATGGCGACTGTGCAGGCGATCGCCGACGTGATGAGTGCTACTCTCGAGAGCCTGGCAGAGGCCGACGTCATCCAGCGCTTGCAGACGCAGGCCGGCAACACCGCCCTACAGCTGAAGGAGCTGGCGGGGAAGGTGGCCAGCGACGCTCGTTCTACGGCAAGTGCCAGTGCTAGTGGCAATGTTAGTTATGTTTCCTCTCTCGCGGTCTCTAAGAGAGCTCTCACCTCGGCTGCTAGTCTCGGCTCTGACGAGGCGGACGGCTCCCGAACGCGAGACAACAACCCTTGTAAAGGATGGATTGGAGGGTTTTCTCGGCCAGTTTTAGCCAACGTGATGACAGCCTTCGCCGACACGATTCAGCCGCAGGGACTGGCGCCAGCGAGCACGACCTGCAAAACTCGGGCGTACAACCTCAGCTCCTCCTTCAGCATCGAGTTCGATGAAGGTATGTTGGCGCGGGGCTTCGTAGACCAGATACGGACCAAGGGCATGCATTGGGTGGAACCGAAGACGTCGGTGCAAGTGCCTGCGAGGGCGAGGTTGGACGCTCTCTCGACGGTCAGACGCCGTAACAAGGCGCTCGGGCTGCTGTGGTCGCGCGTGTCCGATCACTACCGTGAAAGTCACGGCTGGCGCAGTGGCATGAAGTTTGGTTGTCAGGGCTTCAAGGGCACGCTGTTCCCGATCGATAACGACGAGTGCAACATCCCGTTCAATGTGAAGGAGCTGGAGCTGAACAAATTCGAGGCCACGCCAGAGATGGAGGATTCGGCGCTCATCGGCACCGACCAGCAGAAGGCCGAGGCCATGGCCGCAGTCACTCGTCCGAAATAGGAAACTACCCCGCTGTCTCGGACGTGCACTGGGCCCGCGCTGGTTGCCGGAGGTGGGCGGGTCGCAGTTTCTGTTGCGATCGGCTCTGGCGACTCTCTGGGCGCAGGGATGCAGCGCAAGCACGTCTGCGACTTCATCCCGTCCCCCACCGCCCCCTTCTCCACGCGCCCTTCGGTTGCACGAACGTAGGACTGAGAATTCACGATCTTTCAGTTTGCCGCCAATGCCACTGTCGCGTCCACGTCTTCCCCCTCTTCCAGTTCGGCCCCGTCGGGCTCGGGCGACGCGTCTTCTGCGGCTTCCTCGCCCTCGTCTTCTGGACGGTATGATCGTCCTGGGCCCTCCTTCGAGCAGCGCGTGCCGCTCGTTCCTGTTCAGTCTTTCTCTATTTGCACGCGGCGCGCACGCTCGCTCCCCGGCGCCACTTTCGCCCCTCCCCCCGCCGCTTCCCATCGGGCTAAATACGACAAGTTGATTTTGTTTTTGTTCCAGGCATGGCGCGGTCTGCATCCAGGATGCCAGGGGGTCGCAGGAGCACCTAGACTACCTCTGCAAAGAAGTTGATCCAGCTTCTGGTATCGGTACGCTTCCGGACCCTACCACTCCGGGAGGATGTCTGATCCTGGCCCATCCCAAACTCCATGGGGCTTTTCACAGACGCCGTTCATGACATCATCGAGGACGGTCACATACACAGTCTCATATTATACGGGGCCAAGTACTGTCTCAAAGTTATAAACGCGCACTTGGATCAGAACCACCAGCGCATCACCAAACAGAATCCGCCTCGTCGCATCCGTCGCGCCGTGGTACCCGCCAAGAACTCCACGCAGATATTGCTTGGCGACTTTCGCTTTCCTGCTCGCGGTGAAGGATCGCACCGCGCACGCGGCAGATTTTCTTCGAGCGGCCACTCGACCGCCAAGGAGTTCGATCGTTTTGTCCTGCACATGGCCGAGGTGGACCAGGCTCCTTTTACACGCAGAGTTGAAGGCTGGAGAGGCGAGCGGAAAGTGGTCGAATCTTGCGGACGCCAGGATCGGATTCATATCAGTTTGCTTGCGGCGGACTTGTGCGATCTCAACCCAGCCTCGAAAACGCTCGGGGCCCCCGCGGGCCTCGAGGTGTCGGACCACGTCCCCGCGTCGCTCTCGCTGCAGCTCTCTACTTGCTGTTCCTGCGGGGCCCCCTCCTGGGCAACTGGGCGCCCGAGGCGCAGCCAGGTCGTCGAGAACGCCATCGCAGGAGCGGGAGGTTCGTCTGGGGACCATAGCGAGGCCAGCACTGAGGTCCGGGACTGTCTTATTGAAGCTGCCAAAGCGCCGAAGCGGAACCTCGAGGAGTTGGGCGCGGTTTCGGACGCCCGTCGTCCGTTTTGGGCTCTTGCGGCAAATCGGGCGGCCAGACCTGGGAAGTCGGCGGTGTTCTGTCGGGCCTTGAAGGCCTACCCGCAGCTCTCCAGTTACTTCAGCTATGAGGAACACTGCTTCGTTGAACATCGACAGTTTCACGCTTTCCTGGGGGGGGGGACCTTCAGAACGAGGCCCTCGACGACGAGTTGGTAGAGAGTAGGCAGGTCGAGAACATGTCCGAGCTCAAGAGGCAGAGTAAAACCAACTCCTTGCACTCGCACAAGTGTGTCCGAAGGACCAAGAACAAGAAGCGCGGCCTGGGCGCGGCCATGGGCCCCGCGGGCACCGCGCTGTTCGAAGCCGGCGAGTCCCGCCGCGAGCTTGCCAGATACTGGGGGCCAGGTGCGCGGGGAGGCCGAGGTCCCCCAGGACGCCTCACGACGTTTTGAGCCGCTCATCCAGGAGCCCCCCCCCGCCGCGAGTTTGCCAGATACTGGGGCCAGGTGCGCGGGGAGGCCGAGGCCCCCCAGGACGCCTCACGATGTTTTGAACCGCTCATCCAGGAGCCCCCCCCCCCCCACCCAGAGATCCGATGTGAGCTGGGTCATGGCCAATTCCTGAACATGACGGAGCGCGCCCCAGCCCGCGCACCTGGGCCCGGCGGGCGCGCGCCCATCTCTGGCCGGGCACGCGCAGGCGAGGCCGCCGCCGAGACCCTGCACTCGCTCTACCTCCACATGCTCCAGACGGGCCCCACCCCACCCCATTTTGACGATGCCGCGGCAGTATTCTTCGCGAAGGGCGTCAAGCCCGCGGCCACGAGCTTCGCGGTCAGGGCAGCAGAAGAGGCACGGCCGATCTCTTTGTCGGACACGGACACGGACACGGACAACAAGATTAGATCGGCAGCTCAGAAAGTTCCTCTTGGGGCCGCATGCCAAAGGGCTGTGCATCAGCAGCGGCGTGGTTTTGGTCGGGGTCGCCAGATGCTTAGCAACATCCTGGATCGCCCAGCAGAGTGCGGCGCAGCGGCTATGTCTTGTTCGATGTGAAAGCGGCCGATCCCAGCTTGGCCCTATACTCTAACGCATGCAGCGCCGCGCCCCTGAGGGCGAATCGCAGCCACGGGCTCATCCTGGCCAGGGGTATCGAGCAGGGGTGTCCGACGTCCAGATCCTGATTTGCTCTGGCGTACGATCCGATCCTGCGCTCGCTGGCTTGCAAGCTCCCTCGCCCTCTTCGCGAAGCAGGAGCTTTTGCCGACGATTGCGGGCTGGCCAGCAGTGACCTGGCCATCGCTTTCCCGACAGCGACCGACATCTGGAGCATTGCACGGGCCGCGCTTGGGCTCCACATGCACATTCGCAAAACCACTGACGCGTTAAGAGGGGGGGGGGGGGGGGGAAGACCCTCGGAACCAAAGCGTGCCTCTCGGCCACCCCGCTCGCCGCCAGGCAGCCACATGCGCCGGGCATCGAGGGGATCGCGACGGGACAGAGGGCGGCCGGGAAGAGAGCCGGAAGCTTCCGCCCGGCAAGCTCTCGAGAGCGGGCGCATGTGGCGCAGGGCCTGGACCTCGGGCTCGGGAGATAAATTCCCCACTGGAACCCGTTGTGGTCGTCGGTCCTGAGCTTCGCTGGCCAGCTGCACGTGCCCGCGAGCCAGGTTCTCAGGGCAGAGGAGAGGACATCGCAGGTCCGGAGCTTCGCTTGCCAGCTGCATGCGCCTGCGAGCCAGGTTCTCAGGGCAGAGGAGAGGACATCGCAGGGAGTCGTTCGGGGCCCGTACAGCGCCAGTCCGTCCAAGGCCCCGCAGAATCGGACATCCAAGCTTCCCAGATCCGCCTCCGGAGTCAAAGCCGCTAGTCGCCGAGCGTGCGCCCGCTTACTCGGAGGCCGTGGAGCTTCTGTTCAATGTCGCTGGCACCGACGAGTGCTGCATCGCGTGGGAGCAGCATCCGAACTGGCAAGGCACTATCTTCAAATCGCTGTATGATCACCACACCGCCCTATGCAGTATTCCTCAGGCTCCTCGGGAGGTCCCCGTCGTCCAAAGGGATATGGAGCAAAACCTCGTCAGTATCTCGAAGGAGTCGCCTTTTTCCGATGAGGTGCAGACGTCCTGAGAAAACGAGTGCTCATTTATCCAGAAGTGACGCCCAGCATGTTCGTTCCGCTTTCCTGGGGATTGCCGAACAGGCCCCTCCTGCGTTTTAGCTGCGTGTTTTCCAGAGCGGTGTGTAACGTTTGAACGTGCAGTGGTCGTTTTACGGGCACCACTAAGAATTGCATTGCTTGGAGGCATACTATTGAGCGTCCCAGGTTCTCGGAGCTCGGAGCTACCCCCCGCCTTCGTGTATGGTGATAGTGCCCAGGAGCTGCATTTGTATCGAATGTTTCCGGTTCCCTCGGGGGCCTTAGTTCGCGTCGCTCTGCATTTCGATCTTGTCTACAGCTCCTATCACCATATCTCAAACACCGTAGTTGCACGTCCACCGTTTTGCCCAGCTGTGTTGAAGCTTGTATCGGCCAAATGGTTAGACGCCAATCGGATCTAACAGGTTACGGTGGGGGCGTTCGTCAAGGAACGCGCCCAGGAGGCTTCAGACCCTGGAGGGTTCCTTATCTGATGAGGGCGGTGGTGATGTCCACGGCCAATCCACGATTGGCTTTCCACTGGCTTCCAGACCCTGGATTCCTTATCGAAGGTTTCCTTCTCCAATGCCATCACCGTGTGTCGGCCAGGTCCAGAGGGATCCAGCCCCGAGCAGGGCCATCAGGAGAAGGCTGGTGCGCCTTCCTGCTGCTGCTGAGCCAGGTGAGCAGCCTGACCGGCAGGCAGGACCGCCCACTCGAGGGTCCGAAGACGGGTCGGGTCGGCCGTTTTCGTACCTCTTCCCCCAATGCGAGTTCAGTCCTCCTCCTCCTCCTCCTCCTCCTCCTCCTCCTCCTCCGCCTTCTCCTCCTCCTCCTCCTCCTCCTACTCCTCCTCCTCCTCCTCCTCCTCCTCCTCCTCCTCCTCCGGGGGAGGGAGAAAGAGGGGAGGGCGATGGGGAAGTGCGAGAGGGGAAGGGTGAGGTGGAGGCGGGGGGAGGGTGATGAAGCGTGCCCGTTCCCATTGTGTCGAAGTGGTTCCTGGGCCGTAGAGAGTGGCCCGCGGAAGGCCAAAACGTGGCATTAGTGCGGCCAACTCGACGTTGCCCGTCCACCTTCAGGCTGCTGCACGGGGGTCGCGGCGCTCCCCAGGACCGCGCACAGCAGGGTCGCGCCGTGCTGACGCCGAAGCGGCCCCAGCGCGGGCGTTCAATGCTGAACACCGCCAGTAGGACAGAATCAGCCGACATCGAACAAACTCGCTATCGGGGAGCTGCGACTCGCTATCGGGGAGCTGCGATCCCGATCGCCCGACGATCCGACGCGGCCGGCCCAGGCCGACCTCGGCTCAAGTGCCGATGCAGGCAGACGTCGGAACGCACGCTCGGACCCGACCCGATCTCCCGACTCGATGCCGAGTGCCGGTATCGTTTAACCAATCCCCATCCCCATCCCCATCCCCTTCGAGACCCCCACTTACCACCCCCAGTTGGGGAAAGGGAAACACCCCTCGAAACCCGAAGGGAACGACCTATATCCCCATCCAGGGGGCTAAATAGGTCAATGGGCCCGCAGGCCACGCCGCTGGGGATGGGGATCGGTTCAACGATACTCGGAGTGGTCCTGGGCAGGACCGCCGGCACCACCGGCCACGATGTAGCAACGAGGAGCGCCAACAACGAGCACGACGCTGACGGTGACGGCCACCACGACGGCAGTGGCAGCAGCAACGGCAGCAGCGATGGCGACGATATAACGGTGGCGACCACTGCGATGACAGCGACGCCGAGTGTTAAGTCGGGCCTGTCCCCCTACAGGGGGCTTTTCGACGGAAAATAAAAATTACCCCCAAATTAATCCGAAAATGCTCCAAAAATAGTCTGGGGACTATTTTTTATAGCATTGTTTGCCTTTGGGGGGTATTTTCCCTTACCTAGGCTCTGCCTAGAAGGGTTCTTACTCTCTGGGCTTAAAGGGGCCGGGCAGTGGAAAGCGCCCCAGGCGGTTCCCCTAGTATCCGCCCCGCGGTTCCCCCAGTTGCGCCCCCTTGGTTCACCCAGCTTAGTTTAGCTAAGCTTAGCTTAGCTTAGCTTATCTCATCTTAGTTTAGCTAAGCTAAGCTAAGCTTAGCTTAGCTTAGCTTAGCTCATCTTAGCTTAGCTTAGTTTAGCTTAGCTTGGCTTGGCTTAGCTTAGCGTAGCTTAGTTTAGCTTAGCATAGCATAGCATAGCCTAGCTTAGCTTAGCTCAGCTTAGCGTAGCTTAGCTTAGCTCAGCATAGCTGTGCTTACCTTAGCTTAGCTTAGCGCAGCGCAGGTGTGTCTGTGCGCAGGCAAAGCAAAAACATAATCAAGCAAAAGCAAAAACAACAGCAAGAGCAAAAGCAACAGCAAAAGCAACACCAATGCGGAAGTGTAGATGTAGATGTAGATGTAGGTGTAGGTGTAGTTGTGGATGTAGGTGTAGATGTAGATGAAGATATAGATGTAGGTGTAGATGTAGGTGTAGATGTAGATGTAGATGTAGATGTAGATGTGAGTCTCGCTGTTGATGTAGATGTAGATGTAGATGCAGGTGTAGATGTAAATGTAGCTGTCGGTGTAGATGTAGATGCTGCTTTCCTAAACGCTCCAACTCCTAGGTAGGGTCGCACTGGGATAATCTGCTGTTTTGAAATGTTTCGTCGGAAATCCCCCTGTGTGGGGGGCACGCCCGACATAAGCCGAGTGATCCCGGGCAGGTCCGCCAGCGTCACCGCGCTCGCGCCCGGCATGGTGAGGCGGCAGCGGGCGCCCGCGCGGTCAGCGAGCGAGGCCTCCCTGCGGCCCAGCACGTCGCCGGCGAGCATCGGGCGGGTGACGGTCGAGAGGACGGCGGGCGCCCCGAATCGGGGGCAGCGGCAGGGGGGGCCCCCCCCTCCTCCTCCTCCCCCTCCTCCTCCTCCTCCTCCTCCTCCTCCTCCTCCTCCTCTCCTCCTCCCTCCTCTGCTCCACCTCCTCCTCTCCTCCTCCTCCCCTCATCCTCTCCTCTATCCTGTTGCTGCTCCCCTCCTCGTCCCCCTCCTCCTCTCCCCTCCTCCCCCTCCTCCTCGGTCCTCCCCTGCTTCCTCCGCCTCCTCCTCCTGATCCTCTCCTGCCTTCCTCCTGTTCCGGCTTCTCCTCTCCTCCCATCCTCCCCCTCCTCCTCCTCGGCTCTCCTCCTCCTCCTCCTCCCCCTCCTCCCATGCCTCCCCCTACCCCTCCTCCTCCTCTCCTCCCTCCTCCTCCCTCCTCCGCCTCCTCTCCTCCTCCTCCTTCCTCCTCCTCCTCTGCTCTCCTGTTGATATCTGCTCCTCCTCTCCCCCTGCTCCCCCCCTCCCCTCCTCCCCCTCCTCCTCCTCTCCTCCCCCCCGCCACCTCACTCCCTCCTCATCCCTCTCCTCCTCCTCCTCCTCCTCCTCCTCCTCCTCCTGTTGCTGCTCCTCCGCCTCCTCCTCCCTCAGGAAGACAATTATCGGGTCGGGAGGATGGGGTTGGGAGAGATTGGGATGCCATTCCCCGTAGGCGGCCGCAGGTGTCGTTCATTGCATGCGGATGCTATTGCTCATTCCCTTCCTGCTCCCAGCCCCTTCTTCCCAGTTCTGGGCGTGCCCAGAGGAATCCCGCGGGCCAGAGGGGCTTCGTCGAGAGGCCCACCTCGGCCGCGGCGCGGAAGCCCCTGCGCCCGCTGGACAGAGGCACCCTGGACAGCGAGGCCGCGCTGAGGCCGTCCAGCGCCCTCTCCACGAGCCTGACCAACGCAAGGAGGACCACCCACGGCTCCTCCTCGTCGTCCTCCTCCTCCTCCTCCTCGTCCTCCTCCTCCTCGTCCTCCTCCTCCTCCTCTCTCCTCCTCTCTCCTCTCTTCCTCCTCCCCCGTCACCTCCTCCTCTCCTCCCCCTCTCCCCTCATCATCCTCCCCTTCTCGTCCTCTCCTCCTCCTCCCCTCTCCTCCTCCTCATCCTCCTCCTCCTCCCCCCCCTCCTCCTCCTCCTCCCCCTCCTCCTCCTCCTCCTCCTCCAAAGCATCCTCTTTCTTTTCTTCCCACTCCTCTGAGGAAAGCATACCCCAAAGACGTGGACACCCTTGCCAAGGTACGCTCCTTCCTTGCCGAGCGGGATATTCGCATCGATGACCGCTTCCTGGATTACGATCGGCTCAGAAAGGGCGTGTGTACCATGAACCAGGCCTTCTCCGTATTTACAATTGCCGGTCTTAAGCTGGGCACGAAGGACCACGACAACCTTTTGAACGCGTACCACGACGAATCTGGCCGTTTCTGCTACCGTGATTTCCTCAAGGACGTGAACAAGTCGGAAGAGGAGAGCAGAGACGGCAAGCCAGCTTTCGACAAGCGCAAGATGCGCCATCCAGGTGCGGTGGAAGGCGAGGACGCGACACTCCTAGAGGGAGTTTTGGACAGATTGGAGAGGCAGGTGCGCGATCGCGGCATGGAGATCAGGACGCTCTTCGACGACTTCAGGGTCATCAGCGGGATATGCTCCGCCGGCCACGTGACCAGGGCGCAGTTCTCGAGGATCATGTCCATGCTGAACTTCAACGTGACCGAGCCCGAACTGGACGTGCTGAACCGCAGGTTCGGGGACACCGAGGACAGCGAGGAGTTCAACTACCTGGACTTCTGCAACGTGATAGACCCGAGGCCCCCCCCCGCGGAGCCCCAGCTCGACCTCGACGTCCCCTCGTACGTGCCCTTCAAGGCCAGCCGCTCGTCGAGAGCAGAAAGCTCACTGTTTTTCCTCTGCGATCGGTGACCTCATTGTCTCCTCCCCCTGCTCGCCCTCTCCTCTCCCCCCACTGGCAGCGCGCCTTGGGAGGAAGGCCGAGCAGGCACTCTCGGAAGGTGGCGCGGTTTCTCGAAACCCCCTCCAGCCTTCTGCGGGAGCCCCCTGCGCCGCAGCTTCTCGGCATGCCGGAGGCCTTCCGAGCCTTCTGAGAAGGCCCGTTCCCTCTCTGCATTTCCCCGTGGGTGCGCCATCGATCCAAGGTCAACCACTACTTCGACGCGTCCGGGAGGGTCATACCCCAGGGGTCCCTGCCCGGGCTCGGCCGCACCAGGCCGAGCAGGCCCTGCCACTGAGCCCGCGCGGCTCACGGCCTGAGCGAGGCAGCGTGTGCAGCCGAGGTGGCACAGCAGCGGCGGGAGGGGCAGGGTTGTTGGAGGATGACGGGGAGGAGGAGGAGGAGGAGGAGGAGGAGGAGGAGGAGGAGGAAGTAGGAACGAGCAAGGAGCAAGGAGCGAGGAGGAGGAGGAGGAGGAGGAGGAGGAGGAGATGGAAGGAGGAACGAGCTAGAAGCAAGGAGCCAGGAGCAAGGAGCAAGGAGCAAGGAAGAGGAGGGAGGAAGGAGGAAGAAGGATGGGCGAGGAAGGAGGGAGGAGGAAGAAGGAGGAGGAAAGCGGACGAGGAGAAGAAGAAGAAGGAGGAGGAGGAGGAGGAGGGAGGAGGAGGAGGAGGAGGAGGAGGAGGAGGAGGAGGAGGAGGAGGAGGAGGAGGAGGAGGAGGAGGAGGAGGAGGAGGAGGAGGAGATATAGGGGAGGCGCATGAGGAGCATCCAGAGGTGTAAGGTTGAGGAGGAGGAGGAGGAGGAGGAGGAGGAGGAGGAGGGGGGGTGGGGGGAGATGCGAGGGAAGAAGGGGGGAGGAGGGTGATGACTGGCCCCTCTTCTTCCCGGCAGAGTGAGAAAGGGTGGTGGCGGCACGCAGTTGCTGTGACAGCGGGATGGGTTATTCCCGCGGCGGCGCTCGCGGCGCGCGTGTGTGCAGGGCGCTTCGGCATTCCTTGGCCTGGCGTCGAATTTGGACCTGCTGGCTGTTCACTGGCACTGAAGCTGGCCAGGACCTCTGACGGGCTGGGGATCGGTGTGTACAGGCACCTGGGTTGCCAGGAAGCTGGATGCCCAGATCTCCGGCGACTCGGCCAAATCCCGCCGGAGGTTCTTCGAAATGTTCAGCGCCTGGAGGCCGTTGGGGGGGCCCTGGTGCCGTTAAAACTGGCTCAGGGTGCATAGTCTGTCGCCGGGAACGGGGTGGATAACCCTGGGGCCTACAAATTGAACAGATCGAGTCGTCGGAGCTCGGGCTAACGCTTTGTGTGGTCGGCCTGTGCGGGAGCTGGATACAAGCGTGGCCGCATGCCTGTCCAGCGATCGGACTTCGCGCGGCTCGGCACCCCCGACCTCCGCGCGGGGAGTCTGGCGCGAGGCGCGCGTTGACCTGGCCGTGCGCGCTTCTGGCCAGCAGGCCCAGGGGCTCCGCACACCGAGTCCCGGGCCTGGCAGGGGCTGTTCGCCCGATCGAATTCACGCGGCGGCCGTCGGCCCTCCTGTAGGCCGGCGGTGCGCCCGACACGGGTGACCCCGGTGGCCCCCCCGTGGCGAAGCCAGGGGAGCCCACCGTGGAGCCCCACCGCCCCCCCCGGACCCTGCTGGAACTCTTGAGCTGCGCGCGGCGCGGGCCTTGGGGAGCCGTGGCGCCGCCTGGCGGCGGGCCCCCGCCCGCCCCAGCCTTCCTCGCGTCCTCCTCGTCCCCACGGGCGCGGCTTCCTTCCTTCTCTCCCCTCTCCATCGCTCCCGCCATGCACCTCCCCCCCGCCCTTTGCCTCCCCTCCCCTCCCCGATGTGGTTCTCGCCCCAGCGCGGGCCACGCTTATGGATCCGAGTGTTTCCTCGTCGTTGTCGGCCCCTGCGTTGCCTCTCCTCCTCATGTTCGTCCTCCTGCTCGTCCACCGCCTCCTTCCCCGATGTACAGAGCCCCCCCCCATTTTCAGATCGCGCGTAACACCACGGGGTCCTTTTGTGTACTCCAGGTCCCCTATGACACCCGTTGCCGGATAGAGAAAATTATCCTGGCGAAGGACCCAACCATTTGCAGTTGTAGGTACCGCAATTGTGAAAATCTTCTTCGGTGAAACTCCCTATGGGGCCACGAAGCGCTGCACTGGGTGGGGGGGAACGCTGTTCTGGGTGAGTGGTGTGTCAAGTAAGGTTTCCGGGGCGCCTGCGGACGGTCCCACTGTGGGCTTCGGTGGAGCTCCCTATGGGGCCACGAAACGCTGTACTGGGTAAGTGAAAATGCCAACTTGGGCAGTCCGTGGGGACAATGCGGTTGATGGCAAAAAAGGAAGGGGGGGGGAAAAAAGCAGGTGGGAAAAGAGCGAGAAGGGGTGGGGGGGGCGGTGCGGGAATGGAGCTCATTAAGGCTGCACAGAACACGCTGTATTGATGGTGGGTAAAAATGCCACGTTGGGTTTTCGGGACGCATGCGGACGGTGGCACTGGGGCCTTCGGTGGAGTTCCCTACGGGGCCACGAAATTCTGGACTGGGTGGGGGAAAATGCCACAATGGGTGTTTCGGGACGCTTGCGGACGGTCCCACTGGGGCCTTCGGTGGAGCTCCCTGTGGGGCCACGAAACGCTGCACTGGGTGGGTGAAACCGCCACGTTGGGTGTGCGGGGCGCATGCGGACGGTGGTATTGGGGCCTTCGGTGGAGCTCCCTGTGGGGCCACGAAACGCTGTAATGGGTGGGTGGAAATGCCAAATTGGGTGTTTCAGGACGCACTCGGACGGTCGAAACGCTGTACTGAGTGGGGGGGACGCATGTGGACGGTCCCACTGGGGCCTTCGGTGGAGCTACCTATGGGGCCACGAAGCGCTGTACTGAGTGGGGGGGACGCATGTGGACGGTGGCACTGGGG